TAGCAACGGCAATACGGAAGGAACTTCGACGTGAAGACAGGATGAAAGAAATAAAATAGGAAGATGAGGGTTTCTCAATCAAAGTTTGATTATTTCAGGAAGGGCTAAACCCCAAAAATGAATCTCCAATATAGAAATAATAAGGAGAATAATGGATATAATTCTTGATTATTGGCTTAAATAGGAGTATTATCCTACATGCTTAATATTAATTTCAATTCTAACTTAATATACATATTTATATTATTTTTTTATTAATATGACATTTTAATTTTATATTTGACATTAATTATTATGAGATTATTAATCATCTTAATTTATACAACTCATCAAGCTCAGATTTATTCTTATAATGCTAATTCTAACAGCTTTGACGGTAACATCTTATATTTTATATTTTAGAATGGTATTGTAAAGGAAGTAACTGTCATTTTTATAGCTGTGGTGGGAGTAATTATTTTGGGTAACCTGATTCTTCTTCAAACTATTAGCTTTATGTTAGCAGAATATTTTTAGATCTAGAAGATCATTCTCATATTAAAGTGGATGCCCAATTGTTATAGTAAAGATAATATTAATTTCAAAAGATTTTATGATAATAATAATACTCCTGTTTTGGTTTTAGATGATAGATAAATACTTGACTTTTCTGTCACTTCTTAAAGCCACACTTGTGGATAAACATTAACTATATCTGTAACAATTTAACATAGAAGAAGAAGTCTTTTGATGTGGTTCTGTAACTTTTGGGGAGGAGGATTAATATCATTCTCATTCAGTATTATTAAATGTTAGTATAATTGCCCTGGGTGCATAGAAAATTAGCAAATATTTTGCTTAAAATGGTCACTTCATTAATATTCATTAAATTAGAAATATATCACAATTTCAGATGGATGGACTTTTTCATTAAATTATGATCATTATTGGTATAATGGAGATATCTAATTTTTGAAATTTTAGCAAATTCAATATTAGACTTAGCTACCTCTTCATTAAGATGTATTGATAAGGTTTTATAAATATGATGAAATTACAATAATTGTAGACTATTCATAAGGTAAAAAAACCATAACTTCTGGCTATTAATTAATAGAAATACTAATAGAAAACCATTGTGATTCTATATTATTGCTGAATATTAAAACTCAAATACCTACTGAATATTGTTTAATAAGAGATTTTGAGGTATTTTACTCTTAACCAGAAAAAAAAATAGTTAATAAGTTGCATGAAGGATGTTTAGAGTTTATTGAAGATAAATGCTTGGTTTGTTAGGATGGCTGGACTGAAGATAGATTTCTTGAAAATTGTCATCCAATTTGTAGTGATGGAAACATTCAAGATTAATATTGCCATATAAGAGATTTAAAAGTATCCTACACTTAAGCAGAAATAGTAGTAAGCAAATTGAATGAAGGTTGCTCAATGTAAATTGATAATTTGTGCTTGATCTGCAAAGAAGGTTGGATTAAAGATGAATTTCTTGACAATTGTCATCCATTTTGTGGTGATGGAAAAATACAAGGATAAGAAGAATGTGATGATGCTAATCTAATATCTAATGATTCTTGTTATTAATGCAAATATTCATGCATAAACTTTTGCAAAACTTGTGTATTTGGAATTTGTTATGAATGTGCTTTTGGATTTGATCTTAATGCTGATTTAAATTGTGTTTCTTTTTGTGGAGATGGTAATGTGGTTCCTTATTCAGATGAATAATGTGATCTCACAGATAATGGAGAATGGGATCATTGTTAGGATTGCAGATTTATATCAATAGCTAATTGCAAACATTAATTACTTTCAATGTGCTTGGTGTGTGAACTAGGATTTTAACTGTTAGAAAATGCATGTTTTCCTCTTTGTGGAGATAAATATATTCTATAATAATATGAGGAATGTGATGATGGAAATTTACGACCTTATGATGGTTGCTTTTAATGTAAGTTTCAATGCGCTGAAGATTGCAACATATGCCATCTAGGAGAATGCATTTTAAGATGTGAAGATGGATACAATTTTGTTAATAATAGATGCCTTTCTATTTGTGGTGATCAAATTGTCACAAAAGAAGAGGATTGTGATGATGGCAATACAATCTAATTTGATGGTTGCTTCAATTGCAAGTATTCTTATTCATGTCCATAAAATTGCAATGAATGCTATCAAGGTACTTGTTTAGAGTGCAATGATTAATACTAATTACTAAATTCAAATTAATGCAAATGATAACTAAATTGTGGAGATGGATTGGTTTAGAAATAAGAGGAATGCGATGATGGAAATTACGAAGCAGTAGATGGATGAAAGGATTGCTTGATTGAATAAG